TGTGGGGCCGTGTGTATACACGTGTGGGGCCGTGTGTACACACATGTGGGGCCGTGTGTATAAATGTGTGGGGCCATGTGTGTGGGGGGTGATAGCCCGGTCCCTGGCACAGATGCACACTTACTAATATCCCATGAACTCAGCTGTGCTCAGGAGGGAGCCTGCAAGAGGAAGGACAAGGACAGAAACAACAGGTCTGAGGAGAACGTGGAGGTCAGGACATGGCCCAAAACACAGTCGGCTCATCCAGGGCCACCAGAGGGAAGAGAGCTGGGGATTGACCTGTGCGGGATGAAGGGGCAGAGGTCAAGGTCGACGTGAGACTGACGGCTTGAGGACTTGGGTGGGTAGTGTCCTGGTTGGTTTTGTGTCAACTGGACACAAACCTAGACATGTCTGGAAAGAGGAAACCCCAGCTGAGAGAATGTCTCCATCAGACTGGCCCAAGGGGCAGTTTCTTGACTGATGATGGATGGGGGTGGGCTCCTATCACTGTGGGTGGTGCCACCTCTGGGCAGGGGATCCTGGGTGGTACAAGAAGGCAGGCTGAGCAAGCCAGTGAGCAGCGTTCTCCACGGGTCCTGCTCCAGTGCCTGTCTTGGGTCCCTGCCCTGACTTCCCTCTGTGACAGACTATAATAAGTCCTTTCCTCCTCAAGTTGCTTTTGGTCATGGCGTTTTATCACAGAAATAGAAACATCTCTAAAACAGGCATTAAGGCTGAGACACTGAAGAGAAGCAGGAGAGGGAGCCCCTGGGTCAGCAGAAGGGACGAGCCAGGGGAGCCCACAGGAGCCCAGAGGCAAGGCCCGCTGCAGCTCTTCCTCCACCAGCTCCGTGTGGCACACTTGTCAACGTGGCCTGGCTCAGGGTCACCGGCTGTCAACGCCCGCACCCACAGTAGCTCCTCCCACCAAGACAGCAGGACACACAGCCCTGAGAAACGGCAGGACACACAGGACAGCTCCCACTTATCTGGAACCTACTAGGGATGGCAGCAGCTAGAAAATTAGTTACGGACAAGTATTCATGGCAGCAAGATGGCTTCCCTAAAAAGGGGTGTGTAAGAGGGGTGTGTAAGGTGTGTGAAGGGGTCAAGGGAGCCTGGGGCACCAACCAAGGGAGACAGGGCAGAGAAGTTTGAAGTGCGCCTTCCCAACTTCTCACATCAGCATCCCCACACTGTATTTCAGGGAGACCCTGCCACAGGAGGGGCATCCGTCCAGGACACAGAGGAAGGTGTCCGAGTGCCGTGTGACTCCATATCAGAGACCCACAATGGGGCGCTTCACACACTGGAACTCGCTTCTCTCCTGGCTTTGAAGCCAGAAGTCCAAAATCAGAGCGTAGGAAAGCCACGGTTCCTGAAAGGCAGCGAGGGAGGGCTGTCGCTGGCCTCTTCTCAGGCCGTCCTTGGCTTCCCCTTCATGTGGCCTCTCCTCCCGCGCTGAGGACACCAGCCCTTGGACTTGGCAGCTCAGGATGACCTTATCTCAAAGTAATTAGCCAATGACTCCCGCTAAAACACGCATCTTAGAGGAGAGCCGATGGCCGGATTAGGAACAAAGCCACGGACCTCAGAGGTACTGGAAGGCAGAAACAGGCCCAAGCACACACCAGATGCCACAGTGGCACAGAGGCTCCAGGGATCCTGGGCTGGAAGTAAAGAAGCTTGGAGTCAGCCCGGAAACGCTGTGTGAGCCGTGGGAACCAGGGCAAAGGTCAATGAAGGCTGCGGTCTGCCCAGACAGGCTGCTTGGGGCATAGGAAGGGGGCAAGTGTGGGAGGAGAGACCAGAAAAACCACTGGGAAGGCCACCGTAGCACTGTCCAGAAGGACAGAGGTGGGCATCTGTCCGTCCCACCCTCCACCTACAGACGCATGCAGACGAGCCTTCCCAGCAGGGTTGGTAGCAGACAAGTGCTCTATGGAAAGCCAACAGGTTAAGGGGTAGGCAAACTACCACTCAGTAGGAATAGGCAAGCCAAAGCCGTGGGGACTTCCCCGGTCCAACCTCACCCCTAATGTTGTGAGGAAGCAGACAGACAGCAATTATGGGGTGCTGGTAGTGCACAGGGGTGCAGACTGTTCAGCAGCAAAAGCACAGTTACCCCAATCTCAGGCCACATTCCAGTTCCTCCTCCATCCTGGCAGGAACGGGGTGAGGGGAAGGGGTGAGGCTTGGCTACCCTGGAACATCTCATTGGTAGAGATGGCTGGTGGGCAACTCTGTGTTTAGTTACCTTATTCCTTACATTACATAATCTATTGTGGAGGTGGAGGTCTCATGTGGCCCGGACTGTCCTTGAATTCACTATGCAGATAAGGATGACCTCGAATTTCTGATCCTCCAGTTTCTACCAAATGCTGGGATAACCGCCACGCACCACCACACTCAGCTGGGTATGGGGTGTTTTTGAGATGCTCTCGCATTGTAGCCCGTGATAGCCAGAAAACTCACTGTGTGCCAGGCTAGGGCAATTCTCCCTCTCAGCCTCCCAAGTGCAGGGATTATTGGGCGTGAACCACCATGCCCCGTTTTTAAAAAAATTAATGTGCGTAGTGTCGGGACTTTTGCCTAGTATGCACAAGGCCCTAGGTTTAATTCCTAGTACTACAAAAATATAAATAAATAAATATGGAAAGTAAGACAATGCAAAGCTTTACTGTGGGTATCATCTGACCTAAGAGACTGGTTTGTGCCCTGAATGGCTATACCTGTCCAGACCTACACAGCTCAGAAAGAACAGAAAATGGACCTGACAGTCAGGTACCCCATCTCTCCCCAGGGAAGCGAACAGAAAGTCCTGGACAGGAGACCAGCTAGGGTGTGTGTCCAAGGCTGGGAAGAGGACAGCGGAAAGGGAGGCCCCAAGTGGAGACCTGGGGTCTGGCAGAGAAGCCTTCCTGGGGTCATGGCAGCAGGGAGGGGGGCCTTAGAGATGAGAAGAACAGGAACGGGTGCCCCATGGGAGCCGGCGGATGCCCTGGGGAAGACTGTGTGTGTCAGCACGCAGACCCATGCAAACCGAGATCACTGCTTACAGCTTCAGGCTCCTGCAAATTATGCCTTAGGCTTCCAAGCCGAGCAAGTCCGGGCTGCCAAATGCTGACGGCACAGAACTGGCTGGCCTGAGCCTGGGGAGGCAACAGCAGATGGAGACTCCATGCATGCAGCCCAAGGGTACCAGCTCTCCAAGACCTGAACCCCTAAATGCTGCCTATCTTGAACCCTTTAGGTCAAGGCTGGCCAACAAGAGGGAGAGGCAGAGCTGCTGCAAAGCAAGGGTCCCCAAGCCCAAGGCATCCGGATACACAACAGTGGCAGGGCTGGCTAGTGGTTAGTGGGTCTCGTGGCTATGGTGGGCGGGGTGCCTTTTAACCACAAGTGCTGAATTGCTCAGCAGCCCAGCCACCTCTAGTTGGGGCATCACCCTCCTCTCCCGACACCCAGGCTCATCACACATGGCACTCAGCACCACACTGGCACACCATCCACGTCACACACACGCTAAACCCAGGGCCACACTGGCACACCATCCACATCACACACACAAGCTAAACCCAGGGCCACACTGGCACACCATCCACATCACATACACGCTAAACCCAGGGCCACACTGGCACACCATCCACGTCACACACACTAAACCCAACACCATCCCTAAGTCACCATTGCTCCCTGCAAAGAGCCAGCCACCCTAGGCCAGACCACACCCTGAAGATGAGCTAGGAGAAGCAACACAGCCTTGGGAATGCTTAGAATTCTGGAGCCTTGGGCAGCCCTGGTTGGTCCAGAATAGTCTGTTTCACAGCTACAAATGTATATACCAAATTATGTAGAATTTCATTGAAAATAAATTCTATACAAACCAATGAGCGATACAATCTACCTAACGCCTCTATTTCAGTGGCCAGCGGGCACATGTGGCTCCTGGCCACCTTCCCCACAACACAAAGTTAGATTCTCCAACCAGCAGAGTGTTCCTCTGGGCAGGAGCCAGAGGACAGTGGGCCCAGGTGGCGGGGTGCCCTTGTCCCTGAAGGCTCCCTGCCTGGAAGGAGGCCTCCTGCAGGTTAGCACTGAAGAGCTTGGCTCTCGAGATAGTCTTGATGACAATTTGTTGCTTGGGTTTCCTTTGGTGTCTCCTGACGATGTCTGCCTCCCCTGGCCACACTATCTACCCTCTGCCCATGCGTCTCCTCTGTTCATTCCACATGCATAGATGAGTACATGATATCATTTGCTATGGAAGCGGGTCC